GACAACACATTCTCTCTGGGTGCCTGGGAGGTGATTGAGACAGCCTTTCATCGCACCTATGGAAATATGAGCTCACCAAAGTAGGTTTGTTATGTCTATGATAGAATCTTACCACACACCGGAGCGGAGGCATCAAGGTCTGACTCTAATGATTATACTGATCCTCCTCCAGTATCTGTGAGCCAATTGTGGGGTGGTTTAATTTAGCATTCATAGATATAAAGCCACCAAGCCACACTTAGGGTTCTAAACAACGGATGATTTCATTTTTTGTTCTTATTTTATAGTGAACTTTCCCCAGCAAGCTCAGTAGATGAGCATAGAAGGTGCTCAACAGAATGGTTATGAACAGTTTCGCCCTTGCATATATTTTGCATAACACCAGGAATCAACTTCTCCCTGGCTTGCTAGATTCATCGTTACAACAGCATGAGGAATTGTGCCTTTTCATGATTGTGCAAGTTACCAGAGATTTCAGATGCTGGGTGGTGGTGTAGAGCGATTAATAGAAAGACATCAGCGTCAGCAATAGAAGCTCCTAGAGGCCCAACCACACCCAGAACCATGCCATGGCATCAGTTCAACTCAGAGTGGCCCTCGGCCATAGGACAGAGTAGAACCACAGGGTTTTCAAGGCTGTACCTTTTTATGGAAGCAGATTGCCACATATCTCTCCCATGGTGGGTTCGAACCACTAACTTGTGCTTAGTATCTCAGAGTCCACTAGACCACCAGCACTCTTTCCAAAGCCCCAAGGAGAGGTGTATCTAGAGGATGGCTGGTATAGCCCATGCCCTGGGCACCTCTTGAGGGGAGGCATCAAGGAGTGCTTTCATTTTCAAGGAGCCACCTTCATTTTCATCACCAGTCATTTATAACTAAGGGTCCTTGGGAATAATTTTCTATAGTCTTGCCCCAGGGGACACATGGTAGAAATGGTGTAAGAGTTAAGCAACAATTATGCTAGAAGACGAATGGCCTTAGAGACCAAGCAGTGGAGAAAGGTGGTCTTATCCGCTCTGTGTTTAACCGAAAAAGCAAACACGATCCAGCTCAAACAGAAAACCTTCAGATGGGGCCAACAGAGATCATTTGGGGGAGCCCGATGTCAAGGTAACATACATTAAAAACAGAATTAAGAAAAAGTAAATTGCCCATAGTCACCACCCCCCAAAATGATAAAATCAAATGCAGTGACATTATTTTCCCTGACATGCTTAAACCATCATCACGCAAATTAAGGATAAAAAAAAAATGTAGCCATGAAAAGCTGATGATCACACCTGGTGCTTCTGATGATCACACCTGGTGCTTCTGATGATCACACCTGGTGCTTCTACGGGTTTGCTTCTGCGCTTCTCAGGTTCCATGATTATTAGTGTGCAAACTGGTTGCTATTGTGGCAGGAGATACATGTGTTTCATGTATCATAAGGGAAGGACAGCTTCTGTTTTGAATGGGGGCCAAGCTGGAATTCGGGGGACGCGTTCTATCTGCTTTATACACATCCAGAATACAAAAGCTAAAAACAAAAAGACAGATCATCTTTCCCCCAAAATTCTAGGTGGATAAATTGGTCAATCATCCAACCAAACACCTACCCAGCCACCCAATCAAGCACCCCTTCCTAAAAAAGGTCAAAAGCAATCTCTATGATGTCTTTCAAAGTTTCCATTCAGTGGAGTTGGAAACTTCTGGTTCTCTCTCTCTCTCTCTCACTTGTTGGCATGGGGCTATTCTCCACAGCTGTGGTCCAGAGCCCCCGGTTCCTTGGCACTTTCCTTCAGACTGTTTGGTTCTTGCTAAGAAGTTCACGCATTCATTTTGCCTCCTGTTTGCTCTTTTATATACATCGATCTGCTTATGGTGCATCTATAAATATGTATGGAGGACTATCATTTGCCAAACCTATTGGTGGTTGTGGGCATAGACCTTTTCATCTACTGATTCCTGTTCATCTTGCCTGGCTGTGTTTGTGTTCCCTTGTAGACGAATATTTATTATTATTGACAATGCGGGATCGTGGATGTCATTGTGGTCTGTGACTCTCGTGCACCACTCTGCGTCTTCTTTTCTTGAATGAGTATTTACCGATCATGCCCTTATTGGACATGGCCTCGCCCTTCACCTTTGTTTTGCTCTTGTGGCCAGCTATGGTCTGAGCTGGCTCAGCCGCAAGCCCGTGTCTCACTCTTCCAGGTTCCTCGTTTTTGTGTTCCCAAGTCTTGTCTCCTTCCAGATAAGATAGAGACTTGAGGGTCATACATTTTCTTGTGGAAGAAAAAAAGTAGACACACGGAATCTGATGGCTTAAAAATCTGTTCTTCAATAGCCTGGCCAACCTTCAAGCTGCTAGAACAAAATGTACAGTGTCACACTGGCTGTCCCCTCTCCTGGCCTGTGGACTTGCACTCTCTGAGGTGCGGCAGGTTATAAGAAGATGTGGACGTCCACCAGTAGCTCACACAGAAGAACCGCCAGAGTGTTTCACTCTGTGAGTATTTGTAAGAACCTAGGGGCCACGATGGATTCTGACCATCAGCAAAGGAGTCAGACACAGGAGCTGAAGGACTCTTTAGTGGCGATTTTTCTGGCCCGCCACAAATGAGCACGTGGTGGCTCACACAGGGGGATAAGCAAGCAGGGAATGAATGAATCAGCATGTGACAAGATGATGAAATGAGACTCTCTCCATGTCAGTTTCAGCGGAAACTCCTGAGACCTAAAGTTAAGCAAGAGGAGTGCAGCATAGCCTCACATTGCAAATCCATGTATGTATGAGGCACCTGTGCAGAACTTGCAAGAGTGTGGACACAATCCAGTTTTGCAAACCCTATTTTTCATCAAAAGAAAGAGAGACTTTCTATCTGAGAAAATTCCCGAATCTTCCTCCCTGCCTCATTTAGGGAGCTGCTGGCTCTTTCTTTAAGCTTAGTGGGGGCGGGGGCTGGGCTTGGAGAGCTGGAGCTGTGCCATTAGGGTTTGATATTAAAATAATACCAAATTGAGACACTGCAGCGATAGGGAGAGTTTAAGGCAACAGAGAGCAAGAGAGAGAGAGGGTTAGTTAGTTAGATAGACAGAGAGGTGGTGAAAGAGAGAATGAGATACTAGCTATATTTCCAGTGATGACACAGCAATGGTCCAGAGTGTTTCTTGTGGATTGTGTGGGCAACAGAGTATAGTAAGCCTAGAGTTACGTGACTACTTTTCAAGAGGGGGGGTTCCTGCAGTAACAATGGGACTCCTGACAGAGGCATAGCCAACCAGAAAGCCAAGGGGCCAAGAAAGAAATCTAGCTTCAGACTGATAGTGCCTCTTTCATGGGATGTGCAGGGACAGGGTCCAAATGGGGACAGGGTCTTCACATGAGTCCACAGAAGCAAGAACAAGCATTCTATACCCAGAGATCATATCTTGGGTTGTACCCATGCCAGTTGAAGGAGACCTTTCTTGTCTTTAACATTTTCTCCCAACCTTGAGCCAATGCAGAAGAAAATGGGAGAAGACATGAAGAAATAGGACACAATCTTTTAATCCTCCCTCCTACTTCCAGTGTATGCCATCAAAACTCATTGCCAATGAGTCAATTCTGACCTACAACATCCCTATAGGACAGAGTGGAACTGTGCCTTTGGGTCTCTGAGACTTTAGGTCTTCACAGGAGCAGACAGCCCCTTTGTTCTCCTACATGGCAGCTGGTAGGCTCGAATTGCTGACCTGGTGGTTAGGGGCTCAATTGGTTGCCTACTATACCACGAGAGCACCTTGATTATGACACAGGACTGGACAACTTTACTATTGATGTGTGATCCTCTCCTATACCTGGAATTAATTTTAGTGCCCTTTTCACTATCTGAAAGTGATTTCAAAGTTATAGGACCTAGCTAAGATTTTATTCAAGAGCTAGGGAAACAATAGTCCATAGAGGATTTGGACAGGATAGGAAAAAGAATAAACTTGTGTTGTCTTATCAATTAAGCCTATTTAGTTACTAGTTGCTAACAAAATCAGTGTCACCATACAGGTCTTCCTATGTAGCACTGAATAAACCAATGGAGAAAGTCACTCATTAGCTTCACACATGAGTTTGATGTGACTGAAGCAGTATGCCATCTCCGTGTGTGTCATTTCTGACAGGATGTCTTGGGACCTGTTAGAGAAGGCCTGTACCCTTCAGCCTCCCATCTTCCTGTTAAGTGCTGACCAGTGATCTTACTTGCCTGTTTTTGTTTTTCACAATTGAATTTGCAGTAGAACATAGACCAATGCAATCATTTCTGTGTATACCGATTACGTTCTCTGAAGTGTGCAAGCATTCTCCTGCCAGCTTGCTGTGATTTCAAGGAGCCCTGGTGGTGTAGTGGTCATGAGCTGGGCTGCTAGCTACAAGGTCAGCAGTTCAAAACCCACAGAGGCAGTTCTACCCTTCCCTACGGGTTGCTATGAGTCAGAATCAATTTAATGGTGGTGAGTTTGTTTTTTTGGTGATTGTGTGAATTCCATAAGGTTTTCGTTGGCTTCTTTCTGCAAGCGGCTCACCAAGTCTTGCTTCTCGGAATGTCCTTAGAGCCTATGATGGCAAAACTGAAGCGTGTTCTCTTTGTCCAGCTCATCTCAGAACACCAATCGCTAGAAAAGTACGCGGTATTTGGTACCTTAAAGGAATGGCAAAGGGGAGGGAGACCCTTGGGAAGAGGCCCTGACCCAATAGTGTAACAATAGCCTCCAACATAGCAGGGGAGCAGGAAGATGGAGCAGAACGAGGCAATGCTGCATTGTGTTCCACCTGAGCTCGCCCTCAGCCCCAGCCAGCCAGAAAGCAGTCAACAACAAGCGTGTTGTCATGACCACGACTTTGGTTTCCTGAGGATGAGCACAACTTGAACTGCCTTCTGAAGTAGCTTTCTCCTGCAAAACAAGACTGGCAGTGCCAAGAAGGCACCAGGAGAGACTTTGAAAATCCAAAGTAACGGCCACCAGCATGCCCGCGGAAGTACCTCGTGGAAATGGCATCCGCACTTCCCCGCCAGGAACTCTTTGTGGCGCCCCATCGTGAGACGGAACGTGTCAACCACCTCATAGCCGTACTTTTTGGCGGCATTCAGGATCATCACATTTTCCGTCCATAGGTCCTGGACTTCCCTCTGGATGGAGCAGAAGGATGAAGACTTTTATTAAGAGAGGATTGCTTGATGACGTATGAACGCCAGCAGACGTCCTGAAAATATTTTTTTGGAGAGCTTGGTCCTATTGGCAGAGATTAAAGAATCATTGCTATGTGGGATTCTTAAAGATGTGCTCTCGTTTTTTATTCAAAATATAAATAGGAACATGTGTGTCTATATGAGAGCAACGTACAGGTAATTTTAGAGACATGCAATTTTGAACCTGGCCTCTCCTGAGAAGTTGTTAGGTTTACTGCATACCAAGCCCCACCGAAATACCTTAATGTTCCCCATTTGAAAACCAAGGTTTGAAATCCATAGGCGCTATCTCTATTTATTGGACGTCATTTAGTCGTTTGAATATGAATTAGCACCTGCAGGGCTAGGGCAGTGTTTAGCTCAGTGTTCACATGGCCTTCTCACAGGGAGACGGATGCACAAACCTTTAAGAAATCCTTCATTGGAAGTAAACCTATCCTGCGGGCCAGCCGAGTCCTAGTGCAGCTCGACCAGGGGCAGGGGAGCAGCCGGGCTGTGAGGCTTCAAGAGGGTTTCAAGAAGAATCGGGGTAGTTTGTGAGTCAGTTGGAGTAGGCAGGTGGAGAAGGGGCTCTCTTGTAGGGAGCATGGCGTGCAGGGGAGTCTCCAGCTGCTGCCTCTGCGTCACAATTATTTTCTGTCTTTTGCCCCTTCCTGACCCACCATGTCCAAGGCGATGGGTATTGTTGTCTATTTGCCTGCTAGGCTCTACTTTCTGTAAGAGCGCGGGTGGGTGAGGGCACCGGTCACCAGGATGGCAGCTCATGGCATGCTGCCACCCCTTTCCCTCCATTTTTCCCTCCCCTTCTCTTGGCTTCGGTCCGTTTGAAGATTGGTGAGCTCACCGTTGCCCTGGTGGAAGGCACAGGGTTTGCGCGGAGGCAGATGTCAAAGGAAGCCCGTGCTTCTCTCGTGTCGGGTCATCTCACATTGTGTTGGACACAGTGTCCGATACATATAAATGCAGAACAAAGGCTGCCTGTGTGCTGAACTGCACTGATGGTGCGTGAGTAGACTAACCATAGGGAATCACAGGTACTCTGCATTCAGAGAGCCTCCCGGAGCCACCAACAATGTCCTGACAAAGGCATCTTCTCCTGCAGCTTTCAAATAACAATGAGGGAGATTCCATTCAGAACTCGCAGAGAAAGTATCAGGAATCTCTTACAATCCCCCAAAGTCTTCCGAACCCGTTAGCTACTTCCGGTGTTAAATGCCTCCTCCAATCAGTTTACACTACTGTACAGCCCCCTTCAGACCCCAGCGAGGTGAATTGTGAGGCTGTGCTTTGGCCACTCTCTGCCAGGCCTCCTGTTTTTGTACCACAGACCTAAAGTTCAGGCACGCCAAGTTCGAGAAAGGACAGGGAGCCCCGAAACTGTGCTGGGGAAGTCAAGGCGCAACCATTGCAACACAAAACTACATTTCACCCTGACTGTTTATTAAAAGGCCAGCCCCTATCTCTTCAGTCCTCAACGCTACTGCCAGACAGGCCTTTGCAAGGGCACAGCGCCCAGGCTGCTGCGAGCTCCTCTTGTCCGCTTGAGCAGACAGGTTTTGTCTTTCTCTTCTCTGCGGAGACTGATTTCTGATCGACTTCAAGAACCGGTCTGCTACCTCCTTTCCTTTCTGAACCTCCAACCAGAGGAAAAACTAAGGACAGGACTTCAAAGATGGTGTTTTTAAGGCAACCATTAGACATCATCTTCAAAAAAGCCCTCTTTCCCCAAAGACTCACAGATACTGACAGTGTCTTTTGCGGTTTCCGAATGAGCCTTAAGGAAATACAGGATTTGTTCTTTTCTTTCTCTTTTTATTGCGCATGTGCAGCCTTTCATGAGCTCTGGTGTTGCGGTGGAGGAGAACACGATTCCTAACAGAAAGGCCAGTGGTTTAAACCCACCCGCTGCTCCAGGGGAGAAAGAGGCGGCTGTTTGCTTCGGTGAAGGGGACAGACGAGGAAACACTATGGGACAGTTCTACTCGCTCCTATAGAGTTATTCTTTGGAATGGATTTGATGGCAATGGGTTTGTTCTGTTTGGGTGTGCATGGCCTTGAAAGGTGTACACTACATTGGTGGGGACGGGGATACTCAAAGCATAATCCCTCTTGGATTGCCCTCAGTTCTTTTTTTTTTTTTTTGCAGTTTGACACGTGATATTGTTCAAAATTTCAAAACATTATTTAAATGTATTTATCAACGAGAGTCTTCTTGCCCTGGGAATAATTGTTGAGTTGAAATGATAATCCAGACACATGTGATCTCATTCCATTTGTTGAAACCTCATCAATATCAGAGTGTTGTTGGAACTCATTTAGACAGGAGCAGCTGTCCTGGGAGGAGCCAGGCAGTTGAAATAGCCCAGAGGAAAGGGGGTTACCTGAGTTAAAAAATGCACTCCATCCACCGGCAGATGGAATCCAATCCCCAATGTTTTGATGATCACCAGGATATCGGGTAAATTTTCCCTGGATGAAAATAATCAGAATTCTAAAGTGATGAGCTTATACTGCTGGATTTACACAAACACAACATGATGGAATTCTTGAGTTAGCATATAGGACAACAGTTATATATTTGCACATACACACACACACCCCCCCCAGAATAGTGTCTTATTGGACATATTTGTCTGGTGTCAATGTAAATTTTGAGACCGATGAATCATGTTGTGATCAGATACTATTACAGGTTAATATTTTTCAACTAGACTTTAAATGCTCCATTCCAAATTCCGAAGAGCCCTTTGTATAACGTCTGGATAAAATTCAGTCGCATCAACAGTGCATTTTTTTTTCTTTTTCTGAAAGCCTGGCAGACTAATGGGGCTCATTGTTGCAGAAACTTACCTCTTCAAAACCTTGTGGATAATTTGCAGGTGGTTAGAATTAAGCCACTGAACACCACCAACAACTAATACAGTCTGGCCCGTATTCTCTAGGGGACGTGATCTGAAATCCAGAAAGAAAAACAAGACATGTTGTCTTTACACAGATGGTAAACATTTTAACAGCATTGCCTCACATTTCATTGAACCATATCTGGAATTCTGATCACAGGACCTCTTTGTCATTTCCAGCTCATTTTCAGCCACATTACTTGGTGTCTAAGTTTCTCAGCACCTTGTATATTTAGTGAGCAATTATGCCCGCTAGGAAAACATCAGTCCCCTGTGGCATTGTGCCAGTGATAGTAGGACCATTGTACCTTTGCAAGAGATGTTCCAGTGCTTTCTCAAATGATGGCCTCACTGAAGGGCCTATCCAGAACTGAGGATAGTAGGAGTAGCTGATCAAAGTCTTTCCACCATGGACGTTGTGATAGGACTTGGTACCGTGTACTTTTTGCCATTCCTGCAGGGTTTCATTCAGTTTTTCGATCAGGTAGTACATTATCCCCCTGTTTGTCGAGTCTCCAATGAAAAGAATCTATAAATTAAAAGAGAGTGTTTTTATGGCGTACATAGTAGAGGAGATCTAATGGAACTAATGTGTTTAATGTGCATAACAGCATTTGTCTAACTGCCAGAAGGGCAGCCCTTCACACGGTTCGAGATTGCCCCATTGTCCTCTCTTCCAGACCTGCTCTTTCTCATTCCCAGCAATGATCGGAGCTTGCTGACCCACTAACTCAGATGCACAGGGTTTTTTGTCTGTTTGGTTTTTGCTTCCTATCATTTTGGATATCTTGCTATCATTCTCTTTCCTTTCTCATCTAATTGGTTCACATGCTCTATTGATCAGATAGCTGGGAAGCTCTCCGATGCCCTAGGACTACTCAGGAAAGATCTCATCGAGTCTCCGTATTTTACAGACAAGGATAACGGGAATCCACAGAGGGGAGGCAGATCCGCAGAAATCATATCACAACTTGAAGGGAACGCCAGACAGAGGGCTGGACCCGGATTTCCTGACGGCCGTATCCCCTGGCCCATTTTCCCTCTAGTGAGGATTCCCATGGTCCTCACCTCCCTCCTCTGGCCACCCCATATCCCTGCTTCATGCTCTCGTTACCTAAAAGGTGTACCAATATCCTGCCCTAATGGGTCTTCCTTCTGCAGGATGTCTGCCTTTGAATTCATTCTACAGTCTTTCTGGGATAACTTCCCAAGTGCCCAGCTCTGTTCCTCTTGCACGCATGCTCAAAAACGTTACTGGCTCCTCGTTTGGACCAATTAGGCCTAAACTACATTTACTGAATTCTGATTGAGTCTCAGCCTTTGCCGGATGAAGATACTAGCCCAGGATAGTCATTTTGATGCTTCCCTATGGGGGGGTTTGGATCAGATGCTTTGTTTCCCAGAGGAGACACGAGTTCATCAATGCTGTCACTTGGCGATGCAGGGCCCAGACCCAGGTTCTGTGCCTCCCAGTGCAGGGACAATGCCCCCTCCCGCCTTTCAGGGCTTCCCTGCATGGAGCCATGCCAGGCTTCCCTTTTTTCACTCCCATGATTTGTACTCAGCAACATCTGTTTCCCCTTGTCCTAAGGCCTCCCAGTGCAGTCCTACCAGTGTACATGCAGCATGACTTCCAGACACGGCACAAACGACATCTCCCCAGCAGGTCTCCTCCAAGGCCCTTAGTCTGAATGACCTTCTCTGCCCTCTGTGGTTTCCTGACCTTTATACTTCCACTATTGACTTAATCAAAGTCTATGTGACATTACACTAAGTCCCTGGGTTAGGAGTCTAATTATGGAGCACGTATGTGCGTGTCCTCGCTTTGAAATGTCTTGAATCCTCCCCGGTTTGCCATGTAGTCTTCATCACAGTCACCTTCACTAGCTGCTTGTGCAGCTTGTAAATCATGGAAAGGACTCTGAGCCTTTTCTTTGTAAGAACTGTGTGCACCTGTTCGGCCTTACCTACAAATTAGACTTAAAGACACACTTAGGAATGAACCTTGCTTGTCACCTGGGGACTGCCAGGGAAACGATTTGTGTCTGTCTCTCTGTCACTTCTCTCAGAGCCAATCAAGAAGGACTCGAGGGCCAGGGGACTCTCTTATTCCCTTCAGTTCCATCCATGCTGCCTGGCCTTCACTTTACACATGCTTATTGAAGTGCAAATCAAAGGGTCTTCGACTTAAGAGCAGGACACGCTGCTGTTGAGTTGAACTCACAGAGACTCAATATAAGACAGAGTAGAACCGCCGCATAGGGTTTCCGAGGCTACGGTGCTTACAGATCAGCTTGCTGCATCTTTTCCTGGGTAGTGGCTGGTGGGTTTGAACCACCAAACTTTCAGTTAGTAGCCAATTGCCTAATCATGACTCGACCTGGGTTCCTTGACTTAGAATGGAGTACTCTTTACTTCTATTTATGTACACAAATGAGTTAAGAGATTTGGGATCAAGCATTGGCTCAATATTTCAATGTTATCACAATAATAATGTGAATTGGCTTGCGGATTCCTAGATTAACTTTATTCCAAAGGTTCAATCCTACGTTCTGAAGCAGCATCTTGTTTCGGTCCTGTGCTGTGATGAGATAGGCCTGCTGCCCCAGAGCAGCCTCCGCAGGGGAGCAGAAACACCTGCATTCGGGATACGTCATGGAAAGTTAGGTCTCGGCTCACCAGCTGGAAGCAAAGATGTATTTGCAAGAGTTTTGCACCTGTTCTATTCTGGAGACTCAGCACACAGTGTGAACCAAAGATATTTCCCCAAAGATATTTCTTTTTCATATTATCCTACACCAGCGGTTCTCAACCTGTGGGTCGCGACCCCTTTGGGGGTCAAACGACCCTTTCACAGGGGTCACCCGATTCATAACAGTAGCAAAATTACAGTTTTGAAGTAGCAACGAAAATAATTTTATGGATGGGGGTCACCACAACATGAGGAACTGTATTAAAGGGTCGCAGCATTAGGAAGGTTGAGAACCACTGTCCTACAGGCTAACTTTTCCTTTGGGAAAATAACCCCCCACATTCAGATATTTTCTCTCTGCCAGCTAGCAAAAGTGGAAAATAGATGGAAAGCTAAAGTTTATAATCTGCCTGACCCACACAAGGATTTCTAGTCTGACAGCAATTGGTAACCTAGGTCATGTCTTTTATTGGTGAAAATGCAACCGAGCCTTTTGGGAAACGTTTGACATAAACATACAATGGAAAGATTTTCATTCCCCTCTCTTTTATTATAAATGAAAGCGCTAACAACGGTGTGCTGAACAGGCATGGAGATATATCAGTGTCTAGCTCCTCTTCTTCAGAGACACCACAGGTGATCTGTTTAGTAATCAAGGTAGAAAGCAGTCTATAAGGTGGCCTCAAGGGCTGTCTCAGTTGAGTCAACCTCTAGGTAGTGGGTGGTCTGAACCCTCTCAAGAAGTTCTCTGCGTATTCTGATCTGGTGAGGCTGGGAATGAAATAGGTCGAGGTGGAATATAGAAAATCAAACTTTTGGTCATTTTTCTGCTCTTTCTCCTGAGTAGGTTCTATTTTCAATGTCCATAGAAGCATGAACAGTGTACCTATATTCGCTCCTACCTGCCAAGCTCAGACTTTTGATAGAATAGCTTGTGTAGGGGGTCACATGTTCACAAGTCTAGGAAATGCTGACCTACTGGGGAGCTCTGACACGGGTAAACAAAGGAACTGAGCGTGAGGTGAGGAGGGACTTCTATCCATTCGGTCTGGGTCAGGGCCACGCCTAGCCCCTCTGATGAGAAAGCTCCATGTGGATTCCGATGAGTCCCCAAGATTGAGAACCCCTGGTTCTTGCCAGATGAACACCCATTCCAAAGTGGGCCAGGAGGTTGAATACAAAGCAAGCCTGATCCGAGGGCTGTAGAGAATCGAATGCTTGAGAACAACCTTGCTCCCTTTTATGACACAACAAAGCGTTTTGTTAGGTTACAGGGGTATATGGCTTATTTCCCAGTGATATATTTTAATGAAATTGGCTAGAGAGGAACAATCGAACTGCACTCTGGCGTCAAAACAAATCCAAGAGTGATTTTTAGGCAAATCGGGTTCAAACATGGAATTTGGTAAAAATGGATAGTAAATAACAAAAGGGAAATAACTTAAGCATGTACCTTCCAGTTGCTTGGAACAAATGGTTGGTCTACATTGCCTTCCCATCCAGCTCCTTAGAGCATTTGTTTAATGGCAAAGGAGGTATCTTGGATGAGTCTTCTTCCTGGGGAGAGAGGGGTGTCCGCCCTCCTTTTATGCACCCCCAGAGAGTGAAATGGACAGGCTACAAGGCATTGTGGAACCATGCTGGACTTCATATGTTGGTCAGAACAGATTATTATACATTAGCCACACTTAGAAATTTAAACACCTTGAAGCCCAAGACGCTACTTAACTTGAGGACATGACTGAGAAATTTAAGTTCCATTTCCTGTTTAAACAGCTGACTTTTAAGTACTTTCAGAAACGTATTTTTAATATTTCCTGTTCTTAATTGCACTCTTCTCTCAGATATTTTGTGAGCGGTTTATAGTATGAGAGAGATTTTCAATGAGCAAACAAAAAAGGTACTTCCCCAACTCCTCGGGATCAGATGCCTAAGTATTTCCAGTTGCCAATTTGATGATCCTATGTGTACACTGTTAGTGTTATATCGTGTCAACACACCTGTGCTGTTTGTCATGCTTTGAAAAAAATCTAACAAATGTTCCATTTAGAGTTTATTAAAAGGTAGGTATCAATGGCGAGACATGTGTAAATGTATAATTGAAAGCAGTTTTGAAAAATTAATTAAATCTTAATTTTATTGGACACACTTATACAATAGATGCCTGATCATCAAATCAAAATAACTTCTCTCCTATTTGGGTAATTTTAGAGCTCAAAACAAATCCCACAATTCCAGGGCCCCCATACACAAATAAGTTGGACATATAACTCAAACCCAAATCCACTGCCATCTAGCCGATGCTGACTCATAGTGATCCGATTGGACAGGGTAGATTTGCAGTAAGCAGGCCAACGAGTAACCCCTCCACGTCCCAGGATCCTCTTATAGATAGCCAGATATCACAAATGCTCTGAGTCCACCTTTCATCTGGCGAGAGTCTCCTGTTCCTGTTGCTGAAGCAAAGTCACATAAGTGAGCTGTAGGGAGGGTGAAGTCCTTACGTACCCGCTGCTAACTGAAAGGGTGAGGTTGGAGTCCACCCGGAGGCCAAATGTCAGCTATGGAAAGCCCCAGGGCTCACAGCTCTACTAGGGCCGCATGAAGCCACCGAGAGTGAGATTGACCGAAACCTTTTTTGTTTGTTTGTTTAATAGAAACTAGTCTTGCTCGCATGCCATCAAGTGCAGTAAGGTTCCTGGTAAAGTTTGCAGGAAACGTCAATGACTTTTCAAAGCTCAACCGGTGTGCTTCTTGTTCCTTTCCTAGGCTGTCTTTCTGAGTATTGTTCTGCGTTATCAACAGGAGACAGCAATGGAAAGAGGAAGCAGGTTAGAACAGCGACACAGGGAAACTTAACAGAAAGGAATGACTAGATGGAGATTTGAGCGGAGGGGAAAGGCTGCTCTGAGATCCCGCTCCGAATCTTAGGATAATGGTAACAGGGCTTAACACGCTCCCCAAAGCCGAATCTTGCCCTGGTTGGGAGTTAAAACGAAAAGTGTTAAAAACAACAACAAAAACCCCACAATGCTTATGTTAACTCGCTGTTTCTATTTTTGTAATTTTTAATTACAAAAGTAATTCAACATTTACTTGACTGGAATAGAATGGTGATCCTAGGAAATTCTGGATAGGATGGAAACTTAATAATGTTAATGAAAAATGGGCGTTTAAGGATCATTTTGCATTATGTATATTAGTCTCATGGGAAATGAGAGACATGTACTGGGGGAAATTTGCTACCTTACTTCGAGAAGTGGAGTTTTCTTAAAGGAAGTGCCACTGCACACCTGTCTGAGTAAACATTTCCACAGTTGTCAGCGCATGCAGTGTATGTATGCATGCCTGTGCCTGACGGCGTATTACCGAGTCTGTGATTCTTCATCTACAATGCCTTTCTCAGATTCTCCTTCCTTTATATCTTGACAACTTCTCCTCAAGCCCTAATTTACACAATGTGTTAAAATATAGGGTCTTAGATTAGGGAAACAATGCATGTACAGTGTAAAAGAGGAAAACAATATAGAATTCTCTCGACCATATAAGAATAATTGCTTCATGCTTCACCCCTCAAGGCCAGTTTCATGAGCATTCTACCTGGGAAGTCACCTGTGGCCTTATGCTCAGAAACATATGTAGCCAATTCTGTTACCATTCCACCTCTGTCCCAGGGCCTTGCACTTATTTAAATACTCTTAATGGCTCTTAATTCCAGAGATTTTCTGAGTATCTCTTTGTAAGGAGCTCTCCAGCTGCTAACCAAAAGGTGGGCAGTTCAGAACCACCTGGGGGCTTCCCAGGAGAAAGGCCTGATGCTGATGAAAGCTTAGGAAACCTGGTAAGGCAGTTCTGCTCTGTTACATGGGATAGCCGCAGGTGGAAATCGACTGCATGATGCTTCATGGTTCTAGGAACACATATGTTTGCATGCATGCCTCAGGAATTACATGGATGAGGTTGGTTGATACTTGTGCAATCATGTTCTTTGTCCTCTCAACAATGTGTGTTGGAATTTTTCTATTGAACACTAGCATCGTTTTCCTCTCCTCCCAGGCAGTCTCCAGATCGCTGTAAAGTGATCTTTCTCATACTGGTTGGGCCACTTTTCTACTAAAGATACTTCTGTGTTGCTTCTATAATCAGTTAGCATTCTGGTTAAGAAATGAGGCCCTAGGAGACTCCTGTCAATGCTCTGGTAAATTGGAATTTTAGAGCGTTCAGGTCTGAAGGATGTATCTGGATGGGAGGTGGGATTGGTGGTGGGATGGAACAAAGGACCAGGATGAGACTTCTTAGGTAAACTGGGAGTCACTTACCTGAATCACCCAGAAGCCAAGCTCCCTGTTATTGAGTTGCTTCAGACTCTTAGTGACCCTCTACAAAGTTTCCAAGGCTGTAAAGCTGTACATCTTGCTTGGATCTACAATCAATGCTCATGGGAGCAGCAGTCAAAAGATCAAATGACTCATTGCCTTGGGTAAACCTGCTGCACAAGATCTCTTTAAAGTGTTGAAAAGCATGCATGTTAGTTTAAGGACCAAGGTATGCCTGACCCAAGGACCAAGGTATGCCTGACTCAATCCATGTTCTTTCCAATTGCTTCATATGCACGTGAAAGTTGGATATTGAATAAGGAAGACTGAAGAATCAATGCATTTGAATTATGGTGGTGATGAAGAATAATGAAAGTACCATGGCCTACCAAACAAAATGAAACAAATCTACCTTGGAAGTACAGCCAGAATGCTCCTTGAGGCAAGGATAGTGAGACTTCATCTTATGTACTGTAGACCTGGTATTAGGAGAGACCAGGCCCTGGAGAAGGACGTCATGCTAGGTAAAGTGGAAGGGTAGTGAAACAGAGGAAGGCCCTTGATGAGATGGATTGACACATGGCTGCCAACATGGGCTCAAACATAAGAACACTTGTGAGGATGTCGCAGGACTGGACAGTATTTCGTTCTGTTGCACACAGGGCCCCTGTGTACGATGAGCCCAGAACAGCTCAAAGGCACCTAGCAACAACAACGTCCTTAAAGGAGCAGCCAGTCTCCTTGTTCTCCCTCAGAGCAGCTGGTGGGTTTGAACCTGGGAGTTAGCAGTCCAATGCTGACCCAACAGTACCACCAGGGCTCTTTGGCAATCTGAACTTCGACTTTCATTTTCAGGGCAATTCGACTCTGTCCTACAGGGTCAAGATCAACTCAGTGGGTTTGGTTTTAGCTTAGTAAGATCCTATCTCCTTTTCTGATAGGAAAAAGGGTCTTTTCTTTCCTTACTGGCTATAGGTGCATCTTATTTTATTATGCTTCCCTTTGCCATGTTTCACAGATACTGTGATTTATACAAATTGAAGGATTGTCACAACCCTGGGGCAAGCCAGTCTATTGATACCACCACCACCCCCCCACCAAGTAACATGTGCTCTTTTGTGTCTGCCATGTTTTGATAATTCTTAGAATATTTCAAACATCTTCAGGATACTAGTGCACACTGAATAGATTGTAGCATAAATGTAACTTTTGGATGCACTGAGAAGCAAAGATTTATGTCATTCCCTTTATTATGTCATTCAACGTATTGTTGTAGTCTGGAACTGATTCTGTAACATCTCTAAGGAATGCCGTATTTGCAGGGATGCTAATAATTAATCTTTAAGTTATATTTTTAAAACTCTAAGAAAGAGTTGAAGCCATTAGCTTTAACAAAGGTGGTTAACCCAAAGTCTAGGGTTGGATCATATATGCTTATTATTTTTGCAGAGGAGAAAAACAACCCTGAGAAACAGTGTGTGTTATGTCCAAAGCCCTGGGATTTAATGTTGAACTTAAATGAGCGTTCTTGCCCTTTAGCTTGTTAGACTATGACATCATCATAGAGTTATTCTGATCCATTGAGAGTCTCAGCTCAGAATGGAACGCAAAAAGAGCTTAGAAAAGTCACAACTGTGATTGCGATAACTATTTTCATTGCTTCCAAGTCTATGTTTCTAGAATATGAAGGATGACTTTTTCAAGTCGGTGGTCAAAAATGGGCCTGCACGTTTGCCACTCATTTATGTGTGATGATGGTCGCATGACTCAATCTCTCTGTGACTGAATTTTCCTAAGTATAAAATGGGTGCAATGATAGCTGCTACCTCACCAAGTTGTATTAGGAATGAGCAAGAATTCCATTAACACATGTATTTAAATCATCGCGTGTTTCTCATGTAACTATTTTGGCATGGAAGCCTGTGCTAAGCAGTGAGATGATACCGGGAGTCGGACACGTTCCCTGCCCTCATGACGCTGATAGTCGGGCAGAGCTTCAAGTACAAGAAAGCGAATAGCATGGTTCCTTGTAGAGAATCGGGGCTCCGGTAAGAATACTGACAGCAGCATGTGGCTCTAAATGCTTGTTTCCTTCCCTTCTCTTTTTGAAAGTCACTGATATGGCTCCTTTATCTTTAGAGCTGCAACTTGCTTTTCAGTCCTGACCATGGAGGCATTTGTGTTAAAATCACCATGGAGATACCCATCCTCTTACCCTGCCCCTCACCCCCTTCCATTCTTCATAAACTGTCTGCTGCTAGCCAACATATCGCATGTTCAGCTCAAAGCTCTTTCCTTTATGTGTTACTAGTTATTAGAGCTTTTTTTTCTGTTACGACCAGCTTTGAAAGCAGTCTTGACCATGTATGAGCGCTTACAAGCAATTTATAAGACACTGTCCATCCCATAGAGAAAGAAAGCCGTGTAAGGGTTACTTACTTCATGTTAACCCAGCGTCACAGTCTTAGTGCCCATTGCGTACGTCCCAGAGCTCTGCCGGACGCTACCTAGTCAGAGCAAGCCTAGCAAGAAGACACTGCATGTCCAAGAGCTCGGCTTAGAAGCCTCCCTAAAAGGACAAGCCAGTCTAGTGTGGTCCATGTGAGACCTGCCCGGGATGTGAAAGAAGAGCAGGAGGTTAGTGTGAGAACAACGCCGTGCACGTGGTCAGCTCTAAAGGCCGCTTTTGCGTCTTGCATGCAGGGTTGTCGGGACTCCTGTGCTGAACTCCAGATGCCTGGTTCCCCAGCAGAGCCGCCGAAGCTGCCCTTGAGCCCAGCTGCTCTCAGCCGCCAACTGTCAGTTGGCGTGGCAAGCTCCCAAATAGTTCTGCTGAGAAAACAGCCTGGAATTGGGTCAGCACAGACCACGACTTTAATGTCCTCCATCTGGCAAAGATACTTAGTTTGGAACTCGCTGAATATTTTGAGCAAGAATTGTTAAAGGCCCTTGTGCGGCCCCGTCTCTGCGTGCTTCAGAGAGCCCGACTGCATTGTCTAGTGGTCCTCCCTGGAGTAGGTGAGCAGGAGTTGGCCCTGGAGCTTCCGCTTTGGGTGTCACAAGGGAGCTTATGTCAAAAGCCTTTTGTGACTGGTTCCAGAACCCACCTTCCTTCCTCCCAGGCACTGCTGAAGTTGAGGCTTCGTCAGGACGCCGTACTGGCAGTTGTGAGGTTGCCACGTTATTTCTCTCCAGTCGCAGGTCCTGTTGTCTGAGCAGCTAAGGCAAGGCACAATCCACTGTCCTGGAACGGATGGGAAACTGGTCTTAAGTGGAGTTTCACTAGGGACCCATAGTTTGTAAGTCAACTGAGCACTCAGCTTGCTGACACCATACAAGCATTACAGTGAGGAGGCCACTGGGATCTCTGTAAGTCTAGCGGGACATGCATGGCCCGTCCGCCCACCAGGGGAATAGCAACATTGAAACCAGTTAAAACCAAAACACCAAACGCACTGCCATCAAGTCGATGTTGACTCAGAGCGACCGACGCCTGTAGGTTCTGAAATTACCCAGTTGATGCTGAAATCAAAGCTATGCCTTGATAAAAATGTCCTTGAAACCACACACCTCCCAAACAGGGGCCAGGTACTACCCAGCGACCATTTGTTTTCAAACAGCCCATGAGACCACAGATAGATGGGAAGACACGGAACACAACCAGTTGGTCCCAAAATGTTTATTAGCCTAACACTTGCTTAGTTTACAAAGAAGACTAGATCTAGTCCCTGCTCCTGTGATCTTGAAGGTCGAGGAAAAGAACCCGACTGATTGGTGACCCTCAGAGATGAGTGTATAGAAGAGTTTTAAATCAACAATTCATCTTACGTCAGAAGATCGCCCGGGCCAACTCAAGTCTACAAGTTGGATGAAAGCCAGGACCCTCTTCAGAATCACTTAGCTGCAGCTGATGACTCAGAAAGGCGATGTGGAATGCAGCGAGATCACAGGCCGGTGAGGGCACAGCTGCATGGATCCAAGGCTGGTGGGTGGCAAGCCGGGCAGGGCGACACCTGAGTCAGGCAGCCAACATGGGGTCACCTCTGGAGGCAGGCAGAGTCCCAGCAGGCAGGAAGGAGCAGGGGCAGAGAAGGAGCTTCTTGGTCTCTCCTTAGAAGGGCACACCTCCCAGGAAGGCGTCATCAGGCTGCGACCTGATTGACAGGTTGAATGCCACCTCTACGCTTCCCTACATTCTTCAAGTTGACTTAAAATCTAAGGGCCGCACATTGTTTTAAAGACTCGTTTGCGCTCCTTTAATTCTTCAGTGGGTTTCCCTTTTCATTTGACACTCTCCTCCTCCTTCCAACTCTGTGACCTGAGTTTTGTCATCCGTTGAATGAGGTGTGCACTTGCCTCACAGGGTGGGTGGGAGGCTTTAACGAAGTAACAGATGGAATGTTCTGACCAGAGTCTCCAATATATGTTCACCCTTGTTACCAAGGGAGTGCAGTCAAAAATGGGTCGCAGCCGTGGCAATTAAACGTGTTCAAATATATCTATGATACTTCCTACTTCGTTTCTAAAAATGAGGTGTTCAGACAACTCTGCTTTCAGCGTGAGTGGCTAGAGTAATATCTTATTAGAAAAATAAATAATAAATTGTTTGGGTGTTATTCTCTTGGTCCACCTCGTCAGAAGTGAGGCGTGCACATCGCAAATTGTGGGAACAAACACCGAGTGCTTCTTTATCTCCTTTGTGGAGAAGGTGCTGATGTCTGCAACCTGCTGAACCCTCCAGGTCTTGCTTATGTTCCTATTGCTAGGTTTTTCCTTCAAAACATGCAAACGCCAACGGCCCCCAGCTACTTTTTTTTCCTTGTTGTGTTCTGTCTGAGGAGGCTTCAAAAAGTTCATGGAAAAGTCCCACTACCTTTTTGACCCCTGTCCCAGGCCATGTTCCCCACAGACGTCTTGAACGCCTCTGGGTTCCCTACTTGGGTTACCTCAAGAAGCCTTCCTACCAGGGTTCCAGTTCACACAGTCCTGGTTCAGACCAAGCAAAACGTGTTCAAACGTGTCTTTGAGATCAGTGGATATCTGCAGGCAAAGCCTCTCCATGAAGCACCTGTTTCAGTCCTGTCAAGAATGCTTTGCAAACAAATCCCAATCCAAACAATAGCTTCCAAGGAGTTTGCTGAGCCAGCGAAGCTCATGGCTGGGAGGTCAGCTCAGGAAGTCATGGCAACTGTTTGGGGGAATTTCAAAAGTAATCTTGAGAGATTTTCTTGAAGGGCACAGGGCCATCCTGGGGTTTATTAGGAAGTCTTAAAAGAAAATTGAAAAGTGCATTGCAGAAAATAGAGGCCAGGAAAGTTGCATTGAGGGATTTTATTTCCTCCGTCACTCAGCATCTGGTTCTTCTTCAAGGGTACCCAGGGCTGTCCTACGAGCATTTTGTTAGAAAATTTTTACTCCATTAGCCCTACCCCTGCCACTTTACCTCTATAGCACAGATTTTGCCCCTTTAGACATTTTGTTTTCAAAACTGAAAGAAAATTGAAAAAGGAACATGATCGTAGGCTCTCGTGACTCCTGAAGACTGCTAAAATGACAACTCCCCTTGTCATTGTAATGGAATAGCACCGAATTCTTTGGGGGGAGGGTTATTGGGAAGAACTCCCTGATTTCAGAAGGCTATAGATCTAGATGGAGGATGTATCAAGAAGCAATAGCTTCACATCGCATATTTCAATTTAATGAAGTTTTCTATGAGTTTGTAGTCCCACTCTTTGACCTACTGACTTGTTATGATTGTTCTTGGGTGGCATCAAATCAGTTCCTAGGCACAATGGAGGAAAACACTGCCAGGCCCTGGGCCATCCTCACAATTGCTCTTATGTTTAAGCCCATTGTTGCAGCTCCTGTGTCAGTCATCTTGTTCAGGGTCTCCTCCCCCTAATTTCTCTTCTACTTTCCTAAGAACGATGCTCTTCTTCAGGGGCTGCTCTCTTCTGATAACACATCCAAAGTATGTGAGCTAAACATTAAACATCATCATCCTTGCTCCTAAGGAACCTTCTGGCTGTACTACTTCCAAGACAGATTGGCAGTCCACGATATTTTCAGTATTCCTTGTCAGCATCACCATACAAACGCATCTATTCATTTGTCTCCGCTACTCACTGTCCAGCTTTCACATGTGTATGAAGCAACGGAAATACCCTGGCTTGAGTCAGGCTCATCTTAGTCCATGAAGTGACAGCTTTGCTCTTCAGCACTTTTAGGGGAGATCTTGTGCAGCAGGTTTGTCCAAGGCTAGGAATCGCGACTGCTGCTTCCATGACATGGACACGACTTCAAGTAAGATGAAATCCTTGACCACTTCCATCTTTCCTTTGCTTATCATGCTCTTTGCTGTTGGTCTACTTGTGGGCATTTTGGTTGTGTTTACATTGAGTTACAATCCATATTGAAGGCTATCGCCATTGATCTTCACTATGACTTATGGACTTACCCTCATGTAATTGAGTCTCTTGATCGTGCAAATGGTTTAGTGCTCAACCCTTAGCCTTACAGTTGGCAGTTCAAACCTACCCACAGGTACCTTGGAGAAATGAATACACCAACTGTCCTGTGAGAGAAAGAGATGGCAGTTTGCATATGTAAAAATTCTAGACTAGGAAACCCCACGGGGCAGGTCTACTCGGGCCTATAGTGTTGCTTTGAGTGGGAATTGATTCAACACCACACAACAGCATGCTACCCACTTTAATTCCACGTGCAAGCTTCAGGAGGGCAGGGCGTGCGTCTGATTTGCTTAGCGCCGTTTTGGACACTGCTTAGTCTCACTGCTTAGCGCCGTTTTGGACACCTAATAGTGTACACCTGTGATCATAAGCTAATGACCCAATCTCTCAGCCTTACATTTCTCAAGTATAAAATGGATATAATAATATGTATCTGCCAGAATTTTGAACTCCTCCTTGGCCACTTGCTATCAGGCTGAACAAACAAGGGGACCATTGCATGCACAGTGATTCAAATATGGGTGCAAGCTGTTGGTGAGCACAGAATCGCATGCTTGTGCAAAGAAGGCCTGAGTGAGTCTCTTTGAAAGCTTGGCCACAGTGGTTCATACTACTATTTATTTAGATAGTCATAACTCTTTGTATTGGTTGACAGTGCCTTTTACTTACTGTAAGTCAGCAATGCTGCTTCAAAAAGGCATCTGTGTAACAGCTGCAGGATTAAAGTTTCTTGACATTTTAACTGACACCAGCTCAACGAAATTGTCCAAAAAGAAGAATATAAATTCTGCTATATATTTAAACATTGAATGAATCAAAGCTGAGATTTCTGAAATAAAGTATGACATATGTTTTAGGGAATAACATTTTGAGGAGCAAAATGGCATTTGGGGCAAGTTATTTGATTTATAACTGTAGCTCTATATTTAATCCAAGTTAGGTTTCAGTGAATCCTATTGGATGCTAGATGAAATGGGGATGTGGAGTTCCAATCTGTGACTGAGGGCCATGTTGTAAATGTCATTCCTAAGTATGGTTCTGGAGTGCTACGAAAATCAAGCAGTTTGTAGTTAAGAAGAAAACAATGTATTTTGTATCTATATTTTCAGTATTATAAAGGTTAAAGTATAAATTGGCATATTTTCTTTGCTAAATTAAAAGTGAGCTAAAATGTTGTCGTTGTTTATATATCATGAAATTCAACCTGAACCATCTTCCTTAAAGTTAAGAACCACTCTATAATTTTTTAATTAATTAGATGGATTGACCCAGTAGCTGCTACAATGGGCTCAAGCATAACAATTTTGAGCATGGCACTAGCGGACCAGTGTTGCATCCTCTCGTACCCAGGGTCCCTGTGAGTAAGAACCAACTCTATAGCAGCTAACAACTAGCACCTACAAATATCTTCTTTCTCGATCAAAATTAGAACTACGTTTCTTTCTTAAGGGACAGAGTTCACTCTTGTGTTGCGTCTTGTAGCTAATTATTTTCTAAAAGCTAGAAATGAATGTAAGAATATAAATGCAGTCATTCAGAAGTATATTAATTGGCAATTTTGAAAATGACATTTTCACCATTATTATAACATCAAGAGATAAAATAAATGATCAAGTTCTGCCAAAGAATTTTAGAATGTGCGTTTAAAGCAAGACCTTGGGCGCCGGCTGTATATTTGACCTGAGAGAAGCTAAGCCCAGGACTTCTAAGTAAACTTCCTTCCCACGACAGCTTCTTCTTTTTGCAGGAAGTCCTGCCGTCAAGGAAAGCACCTCTGTCGCCAAAACAACACCCTTGCAAAATGCTGGGCCCTCAAGTGTGGGGCAGTTGTCCCTTGGTCGATTGTTCCCTGGCTACTCACAGTTTTTGTGGAAGACAGGAGGGCTGGCACCTTGGTTCAGCAACCATTCAAACAACAAAACTGTCTTCCTTGTTTGTAGTTGACAATGGACACAGTAAAACCGCACCCCAAGTACAGGTTCTGGCTCTACAATTCAGTGACATGGATTCCATTCTTCCAGTTGTGAACCATCCAAACCCTTCTGTGTTGAAGTGTGCATCCCTCCTTCACACGAATCCACTGCCTCGGGGGTTCCGATCTCATTGGTCCAGCTGCTGCTGTCCATCTGATCCCACCGAGACAGAGCTTTCCAGAGCCTAATGCTCAGGCAGACAGTCTTTAAGAGCTAAGGTAAACAATTTTTTTTCATTTTAAGCAGAATTGGGGGAATTAATTTTTTTTCCAGTTTACAGAATATTTTAGGGCAATAGTTTTGGGTGTTCAGGAAGCCCCTAGGAGTCCAGAAAGTCCCCGCTCTGAAGAAACAACCCTAACTCCAGTGACTGTGAGTGCCAGGGTAGAATTAGGCTCCCCTGGTTTTCATGGATGGACTTTTTTGTATGTACATTGCCAGGCAGTTCTTCCAGGGCTACTCTGTAGAGACTGGAAGCTCCTGTCGTTCAGTTAGCAGCCAAGTGTGTTCACTGGACCACCTGGAGATTCCACTCTTACCTACTAATGCACCTGCACACATATTCCTACATTAGGTCCTTTCTAGAACATAAAAATAAAAGCAGGTAGATAGGAAATAAATGCACATCGTGTGTAGTAGTTCCGCACTCTCCCTTTGGGGTTACCCTGTGCCATTTCTCACCCTTCCCAGGGGGTGCCATTCTACTCAGGAGGCTACTAATCAAAGGAATGTGCCAATCATCTGCCAACCATAAAGTGGCGTGTGCCATTGACGAGAGAGTGCCTTCAGGGTACAAAGGGTTAATGTGCTTGGCTGTGAACTGAAAGGTTGGAGGTTCGAATCCACCCTGAAGTACTTCTGAAGAAAGGCAGGGCCATCTACTTTAAACATGAGCCCTGGAAAACCCTAGGGTATGCAGTCCCATCTCCACCCCCACCCCCCAGCCCCCCAACATGGATAGAATCAGCCTCTGGTAACTGGTTAAACTGGTTTTCCTTTGTAAGCACCCGCCTGCCCGCCATGGTGGTGACCAGGAAGACCCTCTGCACATGGGGGCGTGAAGCACAGATGGTAAGAAGTCTGTTAGGCAGAGGGCACACATGCATGGACAAGAGCTTAGGGCTTTTTTTTTTTTTTAAATAAACAGAAGCAGCGAAAGTTGGAGGCGGGGGAGAGGTAGGATTGGGCCAGTTATTGGAGTCCTTGAATGATCAGGCTTAGGAACTTAGACTTGATTTGGGAGCTAATAGGGATTACCCCTCTTGGTAAAGTAGGGGGGCCGCAAAGGAGAGGAAATTCCTCCAGGAAACAGAGTGACAAGGTGACTGCATCCGGGGGCTCAAACACAGGAACAATTGTGAGGCTGGCGCAGGACTGGCCGGTGTTTTGTTCCATTGTGCAGGGTTGCTATAGGTCAGAACTGACTCGATGGTACCTAATAACAATGACAAGAAAGGATTCTCCAGGCATCTGCACCTTGAACTGTAGGTCGAAGTTTGGGTTGATTCAGTAGAACCAAAAGTCAGAAAACAAAACCCAAACTCACCACCATTGAATCAATCAATGCAAGTCACATTAATGAATCCCAGCAAGTCACCATTGAATCGATGTGAGTCACAGTGACTCTGTAGGACAGATTAGAACTCCCCCGTGGGTTTCCAAGACTGTCACTCTTTACAAGAGTAGACAGTCCTGTCTTTCCCGCCCTGGATTCAATAGGAGGTGCAGAATTAAGTTGTTTTATGATAATCCCAAATGGTCATCTGGTATAAACTATCTACCTGATGTCTCCTTTGTATGTCAGCGTATGTATCTCATTCAGCAGGGACTCACAAATCGCACCACATGACACCCCTGACGGGCACACCCTTCCCTGTGCCCTGGCTGTCATTGATTACTCAGAACACATGTTCAAGATCAGGGCTATGCTAAGTGTGCGTGCCAAATCGCCATTTGTCCTGCCCATTTGTGAAACTCATTTCCCAGTCAAACTGTGGTGTGAAGTTCACGGCGAGGGTAGAAAAGCTCCTGAGTGTTTTCTCAGACTTTTCTGATGAAGGGAGACCTGGGCCCAGGAGACCAGGGGTCATGGGAAGCTCTGAGAGGAGGCGCAGGCTTCGCTACGCACTCTGGGGGCATTTTTTTGAGGGCCAGCTGTGGCTCTCCTGTCTAGTCCCCACCGGAGGAAGACAGCTGAGGATGGAGAGGAGGGGCACGGGGGCATTTCACTCCAGGTGTGCTCAAGTCTGGGGTCTGACGGATTTGAATTTGACGTCATCATTTCCCGATGCCATTCCTCTGCCACCTATTGGGGGCATTCGTGATCATTCGCCAAGTAGTTTCAAAATGAAAAAAAAAAAAATTGAACTTGAATTCATTGTAATTCTTTAGATCACAACATTAATAGATGTTGCATAAGGAGTCCTCGTGGCCTACTGGATTATACACTGGGCTGCTAACAGCAAGGTAAGCAGTTCGAACTCATCAGCCACTCCTCGGGAGAAGTGGCTTTCTGTGCCTGTTCTATACTGCCCTACGGGGCTGCAATGCATGGGCATCGACTTGGTGGCAGGGCGTTTTGACCTGTACGCAGTTGCTATGGAGTCAACCCCCAGCGCATGGTGACCTCAGGTGTGTCCGCGTAGATTGTACGCCACTGAGTTTTCCATGGTCGGTTTTTCAGAATTAGGCACTTCTTCCAAGGTTCTTCTGGGTAGACTCAAACCTTTTACCTTTCAGTCAGCAGCCAAGGTGTTAACTCTACCTCTCACAGACTCCCTTACTTGCCTCCTAAGGTACAAAGGATGCTGTTATGTGAATTCAAAGGGGGTAAACGCAACTCATGCTCACTGACCTCAGGACATTTAACAGCGGAGAAGACTGACATTCAACGATTGATGACTACTTACCTGTTGAGATACATGTGGTCATTGTTGCGGAAGCAAAGCAGACTGCTATGGCAACATGTAAGACGGAAGCTTGTCAGAGGAAGGCAATCCAGAAGAAGCGGGTTTTGTGCTGAGTTCTGCAGAATGCATGTGGGCGAACTGCACAAAGCCCGGAAGGGGCCAGAGAGCAGTGTGCTGATCCAACTCTCTCAAACATCAGAATAATACATTTATCTGAATTGCATGTAATTCTTAATTATGATGGGGAAAAATCATGTCTGAGTGTTACCTTGATATTTTGCACACAAAAGCATTTTAAGTAAGCATATACTTATCATTGAAAAAGGAATCTTTTTCCTTTTTTTTGGTTAGAGAAATGATATCCAACATGATAGTCACCTTGTGTGTCCCCAGACGGACAGGTTTTTAGTTTTGGCTGTGAAATGGCTTCAATGTAGTCAGAGGAAATGGGCTGTAAGCCACAGGTCTTCTCCGGGTGAATCAGCAAACCACAGTCCTGCAGTAGAATGAGAGAAATGAGCAGTCACACTCCTTTTCCGGGACCGGGGGCAAGTCAGCCCAACAAAATAAAAGACTCGAAGGAATAAGAGTTTGGGCTGCCAAACAGCTTTTGTGGGTACAGAAAGAGATTCTTGTTTCCCCTTCTGGAGGTGCCACCTTATAAATAATTGTGTTCTAACGGGCTGCAAGTGGAGGCCTGGCAATCTACTTCTGCAAACCTCCGACTCCTGAGGACCGTGAGTCAGCGCAGTCTAAGACCACTGTGCATGGAGTTGCCTTGGGTCAGGAACCAACTCACTCGCTGGTACCTAAAAACATTGTATCGTAAACACACAAGAAATACCTGTTAAATGACTACACGATCAGACTTCCTTCTCTCCCCTTTTATATCAGAAGTAGACATGGTTGGTTTGATCTCCTCTTTGCTCTATAATTCGGCCTTCGGTCAGCAATGCCTAGGGCCCTCTCCTGCTCTGAATTATTCTGGCTGCCACCTCACATGTCTAGGTTTAACCAGAAAAACATGTGGTTCAGCTGTTATTGTTCACCTGTGCTGCTCTCCTCCAGATGCCCAATGATACACTTGATATCGTGATTCCCAGATCCATTCCGACTGCTCACAATCTCAGTGCCAAGACATCTGGAACAGCCAGCTGTCTTCTAACCAGACAGATCCAAAGCTATTTGAATGCCCATTCTCTGACTCCTTTTATCTAACAAGCCACCTGATCTCTATGGCCACCTTCTTCTCTTTATTCTGATCACTACTCTTTGGATGTGAAAATTGGATAATGTATGGGAAAGACCAAAGAAGAATCAATGCACTTGAATTATGGCGTCGGTGATGAATATTGAAAATATTCTGGACGGCCAGAAGCACAAACAAATCTAGAAGTACAGCCAGAAGTTTCCTTAGAATTAAGGATGGCGAGATTTTGTCTCATGTAGTTGGGACATTTTGGACATCATCAGGAGAGACGAGTCCCCAGAAGTGGACATCGTGTTTGGTACAATAGGTTCATAGGAAAGAGGGAGACCATGAAGAAGGTGGACTGGCACAGTGATTACAACAATGGGCTGCAACAGAATAACAATTGTGAGGTTGGCTCGGGACTGAGAAGCGATTCAATCGATTGTACGTAGGGTTGCTTTGTGTAGAATAACATTTGCTTGCTGGTCTCCTCTTTGACGCCTCTCAGTTCAGCTATCTGACATCTCTCCCACCCTCTGCTTGTCTTGAGAAACTTCCCATTGATCCAGCGCTACTTTGTCAGACGTCTCTGTATCTCACAGGCCTGTCCATCTAAGTCAGCGGTTCTCAACCTATGGGCCACAGCCCCTTTGGGGGTCAAAGGACCCGTTCACAGGGGTCACCTGATTCATAACAGTAGCAAAATTACAGTGATGAAGTAACAATGAAAATAATTTTATGGTTGGAGGGGTCACCGCCACATGAGGAACTGTATGAAAGGATCGCGGCATGGCATTAGGGAGGTTGAGAATCACTTATCTATGTGCTCCTACTCATCCTTGAAAGCTCAGCTTCCAAAGGCCTCCCCTTCCCAGAGGCCTCCCTGACCCGATTCTGGATCGGACTGGATGCATTTAGCATTGTCTCTTGTCACAGTCCAGCAAACAACGTCTATTTGTCATCTCCACTTTTACTGCAGCAGTACGGTGCCTGTCTTTTAAGGTTTTAGTTCTAAGAGTGTAGAGCTAGAAAGAGAGTACACAGGCAATATTTGTTGGTCATTAAACAGGAATGAAGGATGAAGGTGGGGGAGGGGGGGCTAACATGACGAGGTGCATTATGGCCTTACAAGTAAGCATGTGAATCCTTCTGAAGGCATTTCAAAGGAACAAAATAGGACATATGATCGCCTCTCATTTTTGATGAGAAAAGCAACCAAGTTAGCCAAACTGAAAACATGTTGTTCTCCAGGCCCGTTTGGGGCCCTCGCAGTTCTGTTTCAGGACTCACACTAGGAGAGGACAAGAGATGTTAATTGCAGTGGAAATAAACTTGGTCTGAGAGGTACAAGTGCCGTATTTGGGAACCTTTGTTTCTATCACTAGAAAACCTTTTGTTAGCACCCGCCATAAGCAAAAAGAATATCAGTTTCTCTTGAGAATTAATCATGCTCAACTTCAGAGACATTAAGTTTCTGGATGCCATATGATAATGCTAATTACCATCATAATTACAATAATTACTGTATAGTGAAAATAATGAACTACTTGAGCTTTGAGATTTCTACTTTTGTCATAAAAGGACTATAATTAATTTTCCTAGGAAAATTAGCTTCTAAGCCTCCTTATAATTTGAATTTAGAGATTTCCATTTTTTTCTTTTGTCGAGAAGATTCATTTCCTGAAATACATGCCGAGAGAAGGAACCTGTGTTCTGAGCGGTTCAGGGCTCAGACTGAAGGTGCTTTACATGGAAGGAACACATTATGCACAGAACAAAACCCTAGGAGGGATATAAGCAATCCATTTGTATCTTTGGGATATGAGCTTTTTATTTCTCCACTCAATTTTGCATTTTTCTAACGCTAGATTCAAGTGTGAGGAGTCCTGGTGGCACAGTGGTTACTCATTGGGCTGTGATTCCCAAGGTCAGTGGTTTGAAACTACCAGCTGGTCCATGGGAGAAAGATGGAGTTTTCTACTACCCTAAGAATTTCAGCCTGGGAAACGCACAGGGGCATTTCTATCTTGTCCTATAGGGTCACTATGAGCCAACATCCAACTGATGACTGGTTGGAGTTCAATTCCAGGGGGGAGGGGCAAAGACACTGAAAAGTCCCAGTCTGCCAAAGCGGAATTGGGGGTCTACTCTTATTATAAGTCTATTGCAAATGTTTTCTGCAAATCTTGGGGCAACTCCCAGTGGCTCATGGGGGTTTTCACCTATCTTTCAACCGAACAGAAGCCTGGTAGAATTTTCAAGCTTCTCAAAGGTAAAAATGGAAAATAATAAGCAGACCTATAAGGAAAAGAGCTCTATTTTCCTAAACTTTCACCTAGAACCAAGGATTATGTTAAATCGTTCACACACACCATCAGGTTTTTTCTCCCAATAACCACACTCTCATTTTTAGAGATAAAACAACAGAGATGCTAAATTACTGTGAGGCAGGATTCACACGAAAGGGAACCTCACTTCTGTTCCCTACCACCCCATTGTAACCCATTACTTATTTTTCTAAAGGCAGAGAAAATCAGTGCTTTTATGGTTGGACTTCAAGCTTTCTGGGACAAGTCTGGTGTTTCCTGTCCTACGCCCTACTTCCACCACCAGCACCAGCAGCAGCAAGCCAGTTCCTGAAAGGCCACTTGCCCCATTTCTGTTAGCTGCCTTCCAGTGGACCTCCAGGCACCATAGATCACGGGGAGCCGTAGGACAGTCACTGATTGATTTCCCGAAGTAGAACTTCAGATCCTTTGTCCTAGTGGGTCTTAGTCTGGAAGCTCTGCTGAAACCTGTTCAGAACCACAGCAGTAAGCACAGGCGGCGTCCTGGTCAAGAATTGCACCGGGTCTCCAGCAGGAAAGGTGAGAATTTCACTTCTAAGAGCCCACTAACCCCTCAACCAACATCACCCTCTGTCTTTTCAGAGACAGCCATGCCTATTCTGGGGTTAGTATAAATCATTCACGGTGATAGCCAAGATCAGAAACCTCTGGGGAGTCATTTTTTTGTTTTGTTTTGTTTCCAGCATTTTGCACAATCTTCAGCATGATATTGACATATAATATATGGTATTGGACTGAAGAGAGTACCAGTGTATGAGAGGAAGGCATACGTGACCAGGGGAGATTGCTAATGAGTGGAGAGTATAGGCTGAGAACATAATGAGAAGCCTATACAACCTGCCCTATAGCCCCCAGAGTGTGAATATTTAGGGCACTGGAATGGCCTCAGGTATAATTCTGGCTCTAATGTTTTTGGGTCTCTATGAAATAAGCATCATCGAGAGGATCTCTATATGACCCATTTTAGTTCTACATCTTTATGTCTGTGCTCCTTTTCCTGAGAAAATTTCAAATGGGCACATTGTACAAACTTGCCTCTTGTTCCAAAAGGACACTTTTTTTCTGTCTTCCCATTGTCTCTAAGCGGAACAACTGCTTTCATTGTATTGGAGCCAGGGAACCATACGATACTGAGTAGCTGTTTTCTGATTCTCAGTATTGGACATCCAAAGAACATTTATAGCATATCTGTCTGAGGTACAAGTCAGGACGAAATGATGATGGCATAATCTATATGAATCCATCCCTTAATACCAACTTGACCTTAAAATTGAATGCTGCTCAAGATGGAACAAGGGCAGTGCATATAAATTTATTTTAATAGAGATTTATATCTCCTTTGGAAAGCAATTTGAAGGATCTCTCAGAATAAATATATGCCTTTAATCCAGCAATTACACTGCTGAGATTCTTTATAAACACACAAATTTATAAGCATGGATATTTACTTGCAAAACTTCTCATAATAAGAGGATGTTCACCACAACTCGTGTTCACCAAAAGAGTCCTGCTCATATAAATTATGGTACATCCAGATAGTAAAATATTATATCATTCTTAGAAAAGAAAAATGCAGAATGAAGATATAGGGAGGGGTATATAAGAAATCATTATGCATGTCAGGTGGATCTTGGTTGAGAGCAGAGAATACCGGAAAGATGTCTACTTGTGTTTTCTTCACTGTGCAAAGGCATTCAACTCTGCGGATCATAACAAACTATGGACAGCACTGCAAAGAATGGGGATTCCAGAACCCTCCAGGTGCTCCTGCAGAACCTCTACACGGACCAAGAGACAGCGGAAAAGAACCATGTGGATAAGGTGTGCATCAGGGTGGTATCCTCTCATTACACTTAGTCAATCTGTGTGCTGAGCAAATCAACTAAGAAGTTGGACTCTAGGAAGAAAAAATCAGCAACAGGATTGGAAAAGGGCTTTTGAAGAACCTGAGACATG